GTATCTATAGAAATATTGAATGAAGGTTCTAAATAGGTTATTATGTCATTGTTTAGGTCACTGGTTAAGCCACATTTGGATTACTGTGTTAGTCTTGGGACTCTTACTGTAGAAAGGTTTATTTGTAAAGCACAAAGCTACACAATAGGCTATCTGTGCTCTGCCCACCACGGTTATCGAAACCCGGATTCTAGCATTGTGAGTCCGCAGACATACCGCTGTGCCACTGGGGGGCCTGTAGAAAGGAGATCGAATTACTGGAAAGGGTTCAGAAGAGAGCTACTAGGATGATAGGTTAAGATCCCCGATCTTCTTTTTTCTCGAAAAACGAAGGATTAGAGGGGATGTGACTGGGGTATTTAAGATCGTTAAGGGAATCAACTTTTTTCATATTTAATGGTGAGAATGGTAAGGCTAGGGGACACAAAAGATACATTTTCGTAGAGCAAGAGACGTCTTCAGCTAAGATAGTTTTATTTTTCTAACAGGGTGGTTGGCCTTTGGAATGGATTGCCTTCAGATGTGGTAGATGCAATTAATTTAAGGGAATTTGATGGAAAGCTTGATAACTATTTGAATGATAAGATCTGGCTTTGAGTTTTAGAGTGTTTAGTTTAATCTAGTGGATGGGACGGCCTAGATGGACCAAAATGTCCCTTATTATACATTAATGCTATGTTAGATTACAATTTCTTAAACTTCATTGTGGTCAGTTAGAGGAATCACACTTTATGATATGTAATAGTAGTCTCAATTACCAATTCGGTTCTATTCTTTGCATTTGGTTTTCCTTTCAGAAATGTTGTGTGACATACAAGTCTTTTAATGTCTTCTTTTCTAAGAATTATATTCGTAATTAAGGAACAACACGTTTAATATAATCCTTTTGGGCTGCGGTTGTTCTTTCGAACAATCATACATAAAATTAACGATTTGTTTGTTTTTTTGAATTTCGTGCAAAGCTAGCCGTCTCTAACTTAGCAGTGTAAGACTAGATGGAAGGCAGCTAGTCATCACCACCCACCGCTAACTCTTGGGCTACTCTTTTACCAACGAATAATGGGATTGACCGTAACATTATATCGCCCTCACGGCTGAAAGGGCGAGCATGTTTGGTGTGAGGGGGATTCGAATCCACGACCCTCAGATTGCGAATAAAGCGCCCTAGCCACCTCGTCATGGCGGGCTACAATTAACGAAGAATACGCCGACATTTGATGGAACAGTTCTGCGCTTTAGCAATAATATGGTTGTATGCTTAAGAAATGGCTAATGTTTCGGTGAAACAATAGTCTACTTTGTCATTCATATTGACAACTTCAATTTACTCAATATATTCACTAAATTAGGAATAATTAAAATGTTGTGTTTTAAATATTGATTAGTGACATTTAACACTTTACCCCCAAAAAATAGCCAAATCTTTTTTAGGAGTAAAAAACCTTTAAAACACATTTTAAAATCATCAATACTAAAACATGGCAATGAGCCATGTTTAAGCTTTATATCAAAATCACTTTCTTTGTGTCAGACGTAATAATAAGCTACATAAAATTACCCCACCATCTAGATAAGAGGTTAAGAAAAGAAACGACAGGGGATACAATATATCAAAAAGGTTAACAGACCATGACAGATTGTTTTATTGTTTTGCCTGGTAATTATTTGGTGGTTAAAACAAAGTGGCCAAGCACACTATGTCTCTACCCAGTGACAAAGCTATTTGCCTGGTAATTATTTGGTGGTTAAATCAAAGTGGCCAAGCACACTATGTCTCTACCCAGTGACAAAGCTATTTGCCTGGTAATTATTTGGTGGTTAAATGAAAGTGGCCAAGCACACTATGTCTCTACCCAGTGACAAAGCTATTTGCCTGGTAATTATTTGGTGGTTAAATCAAAGTGGCCAAGCACACTATGTCTCTACCCAGTGACAAAGATATTTGCCTG